TTCACTTACCTGTTTTAATCCCTGCTGCTGGGTCAGATCCTGATGCTTGAAAAACTTTGGTTACATACTGTAACCCACTTCCGGTTGTGTGAGGTCAGCTGCGTGGCGGCCACATGCTGCGCCCCAGCCCACCCTATTCTTTTGCATTGGGGACTTACTGTGCATGTCCAAAATCTTACAGTGACTTTTTGTCTWTGGGAATCTGGGGRGGCGAACAGCTCGTGACCCGGAAGTGACTCAACACAAAAAAGCTCAGGAGTAAAATGCAAGTTTACACATCAATAACTCTAAATTGTTTATTTTACTTATCAGAAAACATATATACGACCAAAAATAGTGGTGGGGTGGCYCCCTAGTGTCCCCTATTGACCAGCTGCCACTGTGTGTATTAACCCAACATACAGTGCTTTTACTTAACATATTTCATCTGCAAACGCATGTACAACTATTGTACTCTTGTTTAATAAATATGAATAAAAAACACTTAAAGCAAACAAAAAATAAACGTTTACTTTAACGAGCTACAGTGCAACGACACACGACACCTGTGTGGTTGTGGTTCTGGTAAAAAGTCTGTTGTTTATGTACTTGRGACTTCAATTAACTTTATATATTTAGCTTTGTGCAACATGTTGTAGTGCCGACAGTCAAATCCTTCATGGCAGACAGCGTCTCTAAGCAGACTGAACAGATAGTCTTCCTCCCAAAAAGCAAACAAAAAAATGTTGGGGTTTTTATTCCTTCTTATTTTTAGATTCAGTTGCGGGCCGGCCGGAAGTCACCCGTGGGCCAGATGTGGCCTGCGTGCCGCCAGTTGCCGGTCWCTGCAATCAACTGCTGTCAAGCTTTAAATGAATCCACATGGCTCAGTTTGCATTTCACAAGGTGCAGTTCAACTGGCATTATATTACGTGAATTTTGATTAAAGGAAGTGTCGATCGTTAGCAGACACTAGTTCTTACAAGTTTCTATTCACAAATAAATAAGTAAAAAACTGTTCTGAGAAGTTAAAAAAACAGCTCTTTTTGTTTTAATTTTCTTCTTCAGCTCTTCAAACAGATTTCCTCTTTACCTTTTGATCTCATGTGAAACCTTACAGTGAATGTTGAAAAATCTGTTTTTCTCCAGAGCAGAGGTCATTTCACAGCAGCTATAAATCTGCTCTTTGTGGACCTCCTAACAGAAAGTGTTTGAACCTTATCAGCTCTGTTTTTGGTCAAAACCAAAAAAAAGAGTAATGCTGCTGCGGCTTTGTCGAAGGTCATGTTTACTTTTTAAAGATAAAAAAGTCAAAGAAACAAATTAGCGGGGAGGGAGGTCAGAGGCGACACGCCTAAAACACAAGTCCATTGGTCTGTCACCCCCTTTTCTGCAAGCAGCCAAATCCTGCTGACTGGAAACACATATTTGTTGCCAGGCAACACCCGTGACATCAGCAACCTTCATCCCTCAGCCCTCTCCACCTCCTAGCAATGGCACTTCAGTCCTAAAATAGCGCAGAGATTATCGTCAAAATTCAAAATGGCAGACGGATTCTCATTTGCACATAAGGAGGGGGAAAGTGAGCCGGGCTGTTTCTGGCATCAGGTGGCTCAAAAATACTTCACACATGTGACTGATGAGAGTCTGCACAGGGTGGTCCTTTATTTTTTAAAAAATATGAAAACATGCAGGATAACAAAAGCGGGAACTCGTGTGGATGTGCAGGTGAAAAGCAATCAGGTGAATCTCAGGTAATGAATCAGGATGAGTCGACAGGGAGGCTGAGGAATGATGGAGTCAGCTGCACATGGGAATAACAAGCACACCAGCCGAATTCAACTAATCTCCTCTGCTTTAGCAAGAATCCTAAAAGTAAAGTACGACCTCAGTCATTTCTAATCTTTGAGCTTGTTTCTACAGTTAAATATGTCCAGTAAAGTGTGGATTTAGTCTTGTGGGAAAATGATTACAAAAGGAAACGCTGGATGTTTTGTGCCAGCTGACCTTTCAGTTTTCAAACCTCAAACTGATTTAAACAGATCTCCGTTTACCAGTCAGCTGTGATTTATAGCGCCGCTTTTATCTACAAGAAAATGAACTAAATAGMTTTTAATCCTTTCAGAGGATTAAAAACTGCCACAGTTGATACAAGAGTTCCCAGAGGAGYGGGATGTTATTCGAGATTTTATAGAAGTCCTCTTGTAACCAAAACAGAAAACACATTTTTTAATAAAAAAAAATCAACAGAAACTTTTTATTGATACAACAAAAACTTAGCAAATGAAAAGATTTATTAAAATAAGAGCTTAAAGCCAACTACTAAAGTTACATACAAACTGAAATAATATTTAGGCTACCTCACATGCAGCGGGTAAAATAAATATTCAACACGTCACCATTTTTCTCAGTAAATATATTACTAGAGGTGCTAATGACAAGAAATTTTCACCAGATGTCGGTAACAACCCAAGTGATCCATACATACAAAGAAATCAAACCATAAATGTCCAGAAATGAAGTCAGGCTTTTGTACAAAGTATTAGATAAATTTCAGTAAGTGTGTTCAATACTTTTTCCCTGTGCCATTCCACATTATTACAAATAACTTCATTTCTGGACATTTATGGTTTGATTTCTTTGTATGTATGGATCACTTGGGTTGTTACCAACATCTGGTGAAAATTTCATGTCATTAGCACCTCTAGTAATATATTTACTGTGAAAACTGATGATGTGTTCAATACTTATTTTACCCACTGTATAGATATTGAGACACTTTCCTATTTGAGCATTTAGTTTATCAAACCAATTTTTTTCCTCTCAGCTGGATAAGTTTATAAGCAAAGTTTGAACCAATGTAGCTGATTTTCAGGTAAAAAAKCAAGAATTTGAACAATAAATGCTGTCAACTATTAGGGATAATCAAACGTCTGAGCATAAAAAAACGTGAAACTAAAAAAGAATAAATAAAAGTGATGMAATGTTGGGTAGAAAAGACAACAATCTTCTGTATGTTGGTTCTGATCGAAATTACTTTGTCAAAAATATTGATGTCACTTTTAGCCACAGTTTGTCCAACCAGCTGAAAGCTCAAAATTCATATTTGTTCATGTATTTTGCACATTTATACACACTATAGTTATTCAATGTTCATGCATTTAGCAGCTACTGCTTTTCATGCTGCCCTGTATAACGTGTCAAACTGAAGGCCTGCGAGCCAAACATGGCCTGCCACTGCCTTTTGTGTGGCCTGTGAGAGCTTCAAAGATGTATTATTGCCTTAAAATAAGTGTATGCTGCTTTACAGCCAGCATTGACCATAAACTACATCTCCTATAATGTTTGTGGATTATTTTACTTGCAAAATGACAGCATCCCCCCACTACGTGGAGGTGCACAGGGTTCAAAAATAGCTGGTAGGCGGCAAAATTTGCAGAGTAAAATCTCAGTTACGCTGACAGATTTTATTGATTTAACGTCTGTTTTATGAGGCAAGACGTTAAGAACGGGTTCTTTTTTACATTGTCAACCCGGCAAACTATTTTTGCTGTGGCCCAGTTTTACTGGGGAGTGGGAATTTCCCACTTACAAGCTGTAAATGTAAATTGGAACGCCCCACCAGTGGGAATTTCCTGTCAGAAAGTGGGAGAGTTCAGAATTCAAGACAGCAGCTATACTCACCACAACTGAACAGTGAGTAAAACTTACTTACATTTACTTTGTAGTACATCTGTATTATTTCACATTTAGTCAATTGTACACATAGTATTTTTTAGTGTTTATAAGAGGACATGTTAAAGCACTGTTTCTATGCAAGAAATACCACGTACAGCTCAGTTATTATTTGTTAGCAGTGCTCAGTTGCAGCAATGAGATGAGAATGTGCATGTTGTGTTTGGTATGGTATGGTGAGCGAGGATGGATAAAGAATCCATTTGAGTGGGGGCCTTGTAAGTGGGCCCACTGCTCTCCCCAGAAAGACACTGGTCTTAATTCAAACCTTCGTGTCCCTCGGATGAAGGACACAAGGTTAGAACACTCAGTGTTCTGAGTTTCTCGGGATTGGGATGTTGTGTTTAGTTGAAGTTAAACCTGAATCATCAAAGTTACTGATTTGAGAAGTTAAACAATGACTAAACTTTTAAATATTGATAGCTACGCCAATCTGTCACATCGGGTTTATTATAATGTTGGTGGAAAAGGGTTTGTACATTCTGGATATGCAATAAGACCACACGGCTAATAGTCCAACAACTCCCAAAAGACTTGTTTTATGGTACAAACTGAGCTGGATGCCTGACAAAGAGAAACCTGTTCTAAAATGTTCATTCAGACCTAAAATCGAAACCCGTGTATATAGTGAGTTTTTGTTATAAGGTGACTGTAACATCAACAAATAAAGCCCAAGCAACCAGTTTGATAAATCACTTTTTAGTAATAATTCAATATCGAGCTCTTGACACTCGCAGTTGATCCTGGACAGGCCGATCAGTCAAGTGGGCTAATCTGCCCTCAGATCTGAGGCGCACTGCGTGCACAAATGTTCGAGGTCGATGGCTGTCCGACAACCCAACAGAAACATTGATTTCTTATTTAACACCGATATGTCGTCTCGTCCTGCATCGATCCTCAATCTGCACAGGCAGGATATTACAAAACAAAGAGGCGTCCAATTGAGCTCGTCCGCAGTAGCTAACGCATTTATCATGGTTGTGGCACAGGGGGAGGAAAGCAATCAAACCGAGGGAGGTAGGGGTTGACATTAGCGCCGTAGCACGCCGCCTGAATTCAAGCCTCTTCTAAACATGACAAATCACTTTTACATTCAAGAATCTATTGAGAACAGAAAGAAACCTAAAACTAAACTTTCAACCTTTTAAAGCATGACAAACAGTCAAACAGAAGAAACATACAGTATTTCCAAAAATGGTTTTGTTGGATTTCTAAGGTTCTGATTGTTTCTCAGAAAAGCTACGACAAACTTACAAAAAGAAGTGATTGTGTTTCTGTTTTCCTACCAGTTTGCCACCAGTGGTCCAAAACTGGAACCCCGAAGCTCTTCTTTGCCCACTCCAGCGTCTCCACGTCACATCGCTCTCCTGCCACGAACAACATCCGAAACCTGCGTGGAGAAAGAGCACCATCTTTCACCTTAATTTTGTTTGTGTTTTGGCATCAAATAAGCTGTCACAGCATTTTTCTTCCTTTTTTTTTATTAAAACTAGTTTGCATTAGAAAATAGTAATGTGAGTGTGGGAGGAATCAGCCTTTTATTTGTAAAGGTCGAACAATAAGTTTTATCCAGATATTGGTGATTTTCTGTACTCAAAGTTACTGTACATGTGAAATACTGATTTGAAAACTGAGTCATWTGAGTAGGAAAGGCTCAGGTTTACAGCTAAAACCTCTAGATTTGTTTTCTTCCAGGCTATTGTRACATCTTGTGGCAATAAACCCTTATCTGTCGTCTCTGCTCCCACAAATCTTCAACGTCTTATTTAAACAGTAGTTTAGGCATTTTGTCACATCTAAAAGGCATTTCAATAAGAATCTTTTCTTAATTTAACAAATGACCAGTTTAAAGTTTTGAAATGTCTGAAGAAATATTGCAAAGACGTGAATTCCTCCACAGTCCCTCATTTTTAAAGCTTTAGATTCCTAAGTTTGAACATGCGCCGCTCCCTGTCTCATTAAATCTTCCCCCGATGCCCCTTTAATGACCCAAAACACCACATTTTCTATCTTTAGCCTCAGCGATTTCTCCCATATTACTCCCTTCAGAGCTCCTTCAGTCGGCTGCTTCACATCCAAATCAAAACCCCACTAGTTGCTGTAGAAGTCATCCATTATAAATCAGGTCAAATAAAAATAGTTATGCGCCTGACTGCTTCGCTTTACCACCAATGAACGTGTTGATCACAAGCTTCCTTGTTTTTTATTAGTGCTGACATAAATTCTGTTTTTTTATAGCAATTAATTTCAAGATATTCTTAAYATTAATTGTAATAATTTTCAAAAAGAAAAAAATAAGTAGGTCCTTTGGATGGGTTCTTCTTTAGTGAAACATTCAGTCTGATGAGTTTCAGGTGAACTCAGCCTTATAAGCACTGCCTCCACATAGACAAACAAGTTAGTCACATGCAAAAGAGGGCCATCGCCTAACAATAGGCTTG